TTCCCCTCCCCACCCCCCCAATCAGGAATGTAGTTTCAAATGATGCTGCTTTAGAACAAATCCCAGGTAAGGCCCGAGTAGACCCAAGTTCATTTCTAGTTGCATTCCTGCCCCGTAGTACTACTGGCTGCCTTTGGTGATTTTGAATTAAGTCATCGCTGCTGTGGGTGTTTTCCACATGATAAGCATTGCGGGCATGGAGGAGATTACAATTTTTAAGACTCTGAACCCTTTGGAAAAGCTCATGAATGAGGAATACCTGTCAGCAAAGCTACTGACTTCCTCAAGGGAGGAGAGGGAAGGGACCGGCTGCTTCCGTTCACCCGTCACTGGCAACTGAGGTTGAAACTCATCAGTTCGATAGGGGGCCTGGATTTGGAATGACTCTGGTTCATGTGCAAGTCTAGTTCTTTTCCTGACCCGAGGCAAATCTAGACACAGCTCAAGATGTCATGAATTCCCCAGATCTTTCTGGGCAAGAAGCACCTAGTGCTTTTCCATTCTAAACACCACTATCAAGGGTGATGAGGATGGGGTGCGGTGGATGGGCCTGGCAGTGGGAGCATGCGTTGGAGGGTTTGCGGACGCAGGCGGCATAGCCAGGAGGAAGGAAAAAATGAAAGGGAGAGTACAAGGCTGCCTTTGTAGGCAGCTCAGTCACCTGTGACCATGACCTGGCCACTTCTGTTCACCAGGCTATCTGGAGATAGGATATACTGGAGAAATAGAAGCTGACCACACCCTGGAAGAAAATCCAGGAGGTCGAAAGGTAGGTTTTATGAAAGCGATGCAGCCGTGAGCGGCAAGTTCCAGAATACTGTTCTGTGTCTGCTGGGAAGAGGGGTGGCGACAGCTGCTCGCTAGCGGGCAACTGAGGCCGTTCGCTCCGTCCACATCCCTTTGACATCCTTCCCACTGCGGACCACCAGTAATGCCAAGCAAATGTTTATTTCAGGGCAACTTGCTTCATTTAATCTAGTGGTTCTTAACTTTCAGAGCACAGGAGAATCACCCAGGGAGCTTTTAAGAAACACAAGCACTCAGGCCCCATCCAGAGAGATTCTGATTCAATTGTCTGTGATGGGGTCCTGACATTTTGCTTTTGTTTTTGTGTTTCTGATGTGGGAACCACTGATTAAAGCCATCATCTTGAGCCATCATCAAAGAACAGGACAGGGGAAACAATTCAGGGAGATTCAAATCACCATCTCCCGGGGGTGGGGAGAGAGGAATAAAATAGTGTCTCTCTCTGGCCTTCTGAAAACATCTTTGCATATCTTCTCTTTGATGATGCCAAACTTCTGGAGTGACCCAGCCACTCCAATTTACTACAACTGGGGAAAGCTAACCTGTCCCGAGAATCAGATGAATCCCGGCTCTGACTACATCCAGGGTGCAGTGTGGTTCTGTGAGACATTAACTCGTTTCTCTTTATCATGGGTTGTAACAGGTTTCTTGTAAGGATGAAGTCCAGTTGTTCCTTGGATGGAATGGGCGTGAGCCCTTGTTGCCTTCCCGAGGGAGGAGGGGGAGGAGGAGGAGGAGGAGAGGCTAGGCATGAACCTGCTGAGGTGGGTCTTGGGGAGCGAGGCTCAGGGTTCACCTCTGGTAAATGTTTAACTGTGAGCACCTTTTCTAGTCTTCGAAGTCTGTCTCTGAGAAAGGGAGTTTAAGCGAGGTTTTGAAAGATTCCTGGTGGAGAACTGTAGTCTCCATGGCCTCTGTGACAGAAAAGCAAGGGGGGGGGGGGGGGGGCCAGTCCAGGTAGTACAGATATTCCTGTTTGGTCCTCACCAACCAGAGGGCTGCTGTCTCTCATATAAGCCCCCATTCCACTTTTCACTCTTTGCCCCTAAAGCATCTTCAGGAAGACTAGCGTCTCTTCCTGGTGGCCCACTGCCTGTCTCTTGTCCATCTCCTCTGGAGAGCACGGTAGCGAGATAAGCCAGAGCAAGGAGGCTTGGGGAGGAGCTGAGGTGGGAAGACCTTCCACGCATGAGCTGTGGCAGATTTGTCTCAGACCTGAAAGAAATCATGCTAACTTGACAAACAAGGCCCATAGAAAATGACATCTGCATTTGTAAAAAGTTATACTCTATTTCACAGGCAGGGAAAGGGCTGAGGGACTATTGTGAGTTGATGAATTTAGGGTAAAAAACCCTATGAGATTAATATTAAGAGATATTTTAAAGTCGTTAATGTCCAGAGCTCATTCTCGGGCTTTCACCACCCCTGTGAAAACAGTATTTTAATGAAGTCGTTATGAGAACAGAAAGTATTTTTTGAATTGTTTATTGAGAGAGAGAGACAGAGAGAACTTTATACATCAGGAACTGGTGCACTTAAATTATATGACAGATGACCATAAAAACAAGGGCTCTTGTCAACAACACAACTTTGTTTTATATTATTATAGTTACTGATATTTAAAAAATGATCTAAACAAAAATATGGATAGGTTATGCTAAAATGAAAGGCAACAAACTCCAGAAAACAGAAACAGCGTATATCGCACATTAGCTACTTCAAATAGCTCAACACAGAGTGATATAATTGCCCAAACCCAGAATTCTAGTGAGTCCTGTCATGCATGAGCAGAAAGAAGGGGGGACGACACGGAGCTGACCCAGGAGCAGAACAAGTCGAGTGGAAGTCTTGTGCGCTGACCGCCATGTCCGATGCTCTTCGTTTGCAAACTAAACGTTTTCCCTCCTTTTACTGTTCATTAAAGACAGATTCCCACCCCCCCCACCCCCCCAAATCTTCTACGGTGTGCTTCTGGCTATTCAAAACAAGATTCTGGTGGGTGACCAAAATCAGAACCTAGGCCTCCAGCAGCCAAAGCCAAACTTAATAGCTCAGTGGACTGCGCGGGCCACATGGACACAGTGTCATCGCAATGTATTCAAGAGGCTGCCTACTTCCTACCTGGAAAACAGGTGGCAAACAAGGAAAACCTTTATACGGTAAAAGAAAAGATAATTGTTTTTGTATAATTTTTTAGCCTGAAGAAGGCTAAGTTCACCAACGTTACAGATTCAAATCTGGATAATCTCTACTCATTGGCCGTGGTGACACCATGACATCCCCCTGAGTCTGGTTCATGAAAGCAAGCAAGCAAACAAATAAAAAGAGTGATTAAAAAAACCCCAAAAAACCCAGCATAAAACAAAGTCAAGCATTATGCAGCTGTGTCTTTTTGTATTTCCTGGTAAAAGTGTCGACGGAGCTAAGAAGCCCATGTTTCTACCCTTCTATGTTAGCGGTGTCTTCCCAACAGGAATCCTTTACTCGTGAGGTTAAGGCACCAGGTTAAACAAGGGTGAAAGTCTAACATGCATGTGGGATACGCAGGTTCCGAGCGCATCTGTAAAAAGAGCGGCCAGCAGGTAGGAAGCAAAGTGATCCGTATTTAGGTGAAGGGCCCTGCAGGCTTCAAGTGGGTAACAGAGGAGACTAGAAGCACGAGGCAGTACTGTAAGGCACCCCTAGCGGGAAAGGCGGACGGGAAGACCTACACGGAGAGGGAGCGCTCCAGGCCTGCCGGCGGGTTCTAGCCCGGAGGCCTGACGCTGGCCCCAGCTCAGGACGAGGGCGCGGAAGATTGGGGGGGGTGGGGGGAGAGGCCGGTCTGCAGCACTACGGCCGGGAGAAAGGAGTCTTCACTGTGCTGCGAGCTGCTGTAGGCGCCTGAATCTTCTACCCTAGGCAACGACTGTGGCTTCATTTCACACCTTCTGACAACATGGCTTCTCTTTCCACAGGGAGGAACCAAAGCAAAACAGCAGTTGTCCCTTCCGTTGTGCTTAACACTGGCTTCCACCACATCGGAGGCCACTTGAGAGTGCCACGTAACATGACCGTGGGGAACCCGTTTTAAATAAAGCCCCTGACGACTACGGGTGTGCTGAGAAGGACATTCCACATTTCTGGCTTTTACCTAGAGTTTAACAGTGACTTAGACTTTACCTTGGGAAGCATCCACTAAGACACACGAAAGCAAACCCCTCAGGTCAGAGGGTCTGAATACAATGACCTTAGAACTGTCTACCTTTAGGAAGTGCTGGGTGCTAGGACTCAACTGTCCCCCACGAAAGAAATCAACACTTGTCTGCTTAAATTAACTGAGCAGAGCTTTTCACCCATCCTGGGCTCAGCCTAGAGCAGCGAGCTCTACTAGACTTGGGGGTCAGAAGAACGGTCCACGGTCCACAACACAGTAATGCTCAGTTGTTAACAAGTGCCAAGGGAAGGAAAACAGTACCTCTACAGATTCAATTCATACCAAGGAGAGAGTGTTCATTTCTTTCCGTTTGCCCCCCATTCTCTACTTTCTAACATTATCTGAAAAGTAAGAAAAGTATTGACACAGAAAATTCAAAAAAATAAAGGAGAAAACCGTATGCATCTCTCTTTAGCGGGAGAAGTAAAAATAAAATAAAATAACCTCTGAATCGACTCTAGACAGTATTAGAATCAAGAGTAGAAGACTGACTTCCCAGTCCAGTTATTTCAGTAAGGGCAGCAGAGCAGTGGAGATGAAGAATTCTGCCCAAACCTGTCAACAGCAGCATTGGCTTCACCCTAAATTAAGAAGAACACGTATCTTGGCTTCTTCAGGTAATGCCTCTCTTTGCAGAAGTGTTCGGTGTGGCATCCAGTCCTGCCCTGATACGGTAATTTACGCATGAAGGTTTTCGGCCAATGGGCAGGGAACAAACCCACAGGTCTGGGAGCCACGCCTTTTCAAGGAGGCACAGGAAGAAATGGTCCAGTGTCCGTGTTGAGTGTGTACGCACGCAGAGCCAGAGCCTGAGGTCAGACCTCACCCGAGCGGACTGACTCAGTGTAGCGAAGGCTGTATGGGGCAGCTGGAGCGAAGTAAACACTGCAGCCGGAAGGAAATCATGGCACAGCCCCTTTGCAGGAGTCTGAAGTACCACTGAGTTAGCCAGAAACCACAGATCCTAAACGCTAATCATACCCCCCCCTCCTTTTTTTTTTTTTTTTTGGTGGAGTTCTGGTCTAGTAGAATTAAAAGGCGATTACCCTGTCAGCTAATCAAGTATTCAAGGTCCTAAAGTATTACCGTTTAGTGCTACAGATATGGAAGCGGCTAGAACACAGTACCCTGAAAAGGCAGTGAAGCAAAGGGGGGCGAGGAGAGTTTACATGGTTTTCATATAAAGAGGCTTTCAACTTTGGGGGAAATCAGCCCTGGAAAGAACACGACTCGATTCCAGTTGACTGCTTTTAAAGTACTCTGTGGCCTTCCTGCAGCGGTACAACTGAGCTCTATTTTGGGAACTGGCTTCTCTACTGCAGGGTTGGATGCCAACATTTTACCAGGCTTGGACTGTCTCACACATGAGTTTCTGGCGCTGTTAGAAGGGATTTCCTCAAGTGATACACCAGGGAACGGGCCTTTCAAGTGAAGAGTTTCCCTGGAGTCAGCCGCCGGCCGTAGGAGATTAATTGGCCGTTTTCTCGTGTGCTTTATGTGTGAGATATTTAATATGGGATGAGAAAGGGAACAGGAGGGAAGGCAGGTATTAGCTTGGTTCTTAAGGAGGTGGTAATCCACAGATCTGCTTTTGTTTCGACAGCTTCTAAGCTGTGGAACAATTACCTAACAGTGAACCGAGTCCTTTGTTTGGGTTGAAAACAGTAAGGGCGTTCATGTGCTCTAAGGCGTCTCTGGGCTGGAAAACAGCAATTTTGAATTTTCACGACAGACCCAGTTCGTAAACTGGCTCCACTCTGTCCTATCAGATTTTGGTGGTGGTGGCTGACTGCTGTGTGGCCGCCGGGCAGCACCGGCTGGGCCCTCAGGGACATAGAAAAGGTGAGAAAACAGAAGCAGCTGGGATGCCATTCCGCTTCTGGGTAGCCGATGGCGATAGTACGTCTATTTTTTTTTTCTTTTTTGAAAATGAGCGGAAAATGACGTGGGTAGAAAGGTGTCCTTTGGGGTATGCAGGGAATGCCAGCGTTTGGCAAGGCCCTCTAACTGGGCACCCGTGAAAACAAAGGACTTTAAGACAGTGGTCCAGAATGTCCCCCTCTCGGCAGGCCTGACACTAGGTGCCTGGGAGGTGGGACAGGAAATTCTGTACGTAGAGCAAGCATTCTACAGGGGGCGAGGGGGGCGGCCCGAATGCAGTGTGCCGGGGCTGGCCTCGCTGACAGGCGGGGATCACCGGTACATTAATTATAGCGCAGGCAGAAGTAAGCTACAGCGCCGGGGAGCTGGGGGCGGAGGGGAGAAGGCACTTTGCCATCGGAGCACATCTGTTTTATAATAAGCAGGTCTATAATTCTCTTGTGAAAGATCATGTTCTGCTATCTTCTCTGAGGCTGGAAAATATAAATACTGTATTTCACGAAGGGGAGGGAAAAGGGGGAGAGGATCAAATTTGTTTGCCTGTTAGCCAAGTGCTTGTTTGAGATTTTCCACCCTTTATCTTTTGTGTGCAATGTTCTCGATGACTGGAGTTGGGGTGGGGGGAAATCAACCTGTTTTTTTCCAAGAATAAAAGGCACCGTAAGGTGTCTCATGAATGGGATCTTGGCCTTGGAGCACGTTTTTGTGCCCCTGGCGGCAGCTGCTGCAGAGTCAGAACAGACGTGCGTGCGTGGTGGCGAGCTAGTAGGCTGAAATGTGTGGTCCGGAGCCAAAGGAACTGGCATGGGTTGAGAGGTGAAATGTTTGCATCCAGCAGGCTGTGCAAAAGTCAGTCTGGAATGGCACGTGTCTACATGGGCAGAGGTATCAAGAATCAGGATATGGAGGGAGCAAGGTGTGGGGGCGAAGCAGCAACAGGGTTAAATGTAACCTGTGCTTCGTGAGCCACTGAGTCCCCAGGTCCCAACAGCAGTGACACTACCAAATACCAAACCATGAAGGCCTTGGAGGGGTCTGCTCAGTGGAAACATCCAGCGTCTTCTCATATGGCCTGTTGAAAACTGCTTCATTATCAGTGTATCTCTCTGCTCTGGGAAGAGTGTGGTGGAAGGAACGGAGCCGTGATGGTCAGAGCCGGCCTGCCTGACATTTTGGTCATGACAGCTCTGCTGGCTTCCACACGGCCCCGGGCTGGGGGGGCACTGGGGGGAGGGGCGGGACATGGCTCTGCCGAGTGGTGAAGCAATTCATTATATTTCCTATTCCTAGGATACAATTTTAGCACTTTTGTTTCACGTCAAGGTGGCAAGTATGTGTGTGTGTATATATATATATCTATTTAAACAATATTATCACATTTAGTTCATTAATTATATTCGTTAAGTTTGGTGTTTTCTTAAGAGTCTAGCGTTGGTGTTTTGAAGTCCCATGTTACTTTGATTTTGTAAACAATTTTAAAAATGTGAAAGCAGAAGTCGTTAAATTGACAGATGAAAGGCCAAAGTGAAAGTGCAATGGAGAACAACGAGAAATAAAGCATTTAAAATAAATAGGTAGGAAACGCATACATAAGACCCTGTGAAAAGAAATTGAACACCGTCCCACAGAATGTACGCATGACATCCACAGTCTACAAACCGTTGTGTTTGACCACAATCGTAGGAATTTCCTCAGGCCAGCACCATTAAAAAAAAAAATCATAAATATATTACCCATGAAACCCTGGAAAAACTGCTCTTTAGAAAGCTATGTTTTCAACCAAATGTGCTGGGGTGTCGCACCCGTAGGTGGCGGTGGGATTCGTACCAGCAAACAGACCGACAACATGCAGCTATTGGTCGCAGAGGTCTCTCTCAGTTTTCTTTTTTCCTCAGGAAAAAAACCCGAGATTAACTTCAAAGCCAGAAGGAGCTCTCCTCATAAAGCAGGGGTGCGTTGCTTTCTGTTGGAGGGAGCTCACACTCCTCATTTCTGGGCCACTCGGCTCAGCTGAGGTGGTCCCCACCTGTGCGGTGGAAACTGCGGTGACCCGGAGTCATCCAGCCCTGTGATCTGAAGATTTTCTTGTGAAACAGATGATGATGAGTGCTTGCCTCAGCTACTGCATCCTCTGTGAAGGCTCAGAATAAATAACACAAACATAACCCGAAGTTCTGTGCTTCTGTAGGAAATGCTTCCTCCTGTGTCCTGCGTAGTCAAATGGCCCCTGAGAGCCAAACAACAACAAAGCAAAACAAAACAAGAAAAAACATCTGAATTATATAAAGCATTGTGTGTAAACCACGGTTTCGTTTCGCTTGGGAACAAACTGCTGAAATTCATGGCTAAGTGCAATTCAGCTACTGGCAGTTTCTCTGAGCCACAGGGGCTTCGCGGACCTTTGGGACAGTGATTTACACAGAACGTACATACGGGACGTAGCTGTATGTGTGTGTATGTATGTAAATGTATATCTATTATCTAGCTGAAGATGCGGCATACTCCTCCTCCAAAGGGGTCTAGCTGGCGGGTCAGGAAGCCCCCGGGCTGATGGGTCGGTGAGAGGTCAGTCCCTGTCCTGGGCTCCTGCCGCGTCAGGTGCTCTGGTAGGAGAGCTCGAACATGGTGCAAGCCTCCTCCAGGCTCTCGTCCACGTTCAGCCTCCGCCAGAAAGACTTCTGCTTCTTCTGCAGCTCTCGGCGGACACACCTCGGGCAGGGGACGGACTTTTCTTTGCATTCGGAATGGAAAACGGCTCCACAGCCTTCACACCTGCAAAAGCCAACCACGGAGATGATGAACCAGGCTGAAACGAGCAAGACACAAATAGCCGAGGTCCAGTCCTCTGTGCGGCTCAGAGCACGTTTACGCCGGGGAGCCCTGCCGCTGGGGAGAGAGATGACTCACAGACATGGGCTCTTCCCTTTTCCAAGATGCTCAAGGTTGAATTTCACTTGAAAAAATAACTTTTTTTTTTTTCCTGATTAGAACTAGCTGGGGCAAGGCTTATGGCTTTCAGTGGAGGGAGGGTGAGCCGTCGACTAGCAACTGTGTGATCGTGGTGACAGTGGACTGTGACTGTGTGATCTAGAAGCTCTGTATGGTAGTCTCCTCTCCATGGGAAAGCGGTGTAGGTAGTAACTCTAGGGTGTAGTGACAGCCCTGGCGTTTCAGCCGTGAAAACGCTGCTGTCCACTTCTGCTAACGTGGCCTACGTGGTTGCCTGTGACTCCCTGCCTTCATCTGATGATTTGGAAAGGTAAAATGACACACCTTCATTTTCTGAATGATACCCTTTGGTCTATTGTCCTTCTGAGCGCCTAAAAAATTTGGGACCCCCCCCCCCACCTTTGTAAGCCCTCCTTTATAACACAAGTGGGAACAGTAAAGCATGAGAAAGTGGGGAAGAGAATATTTTTTGAAGATGGCACGCAGATACTGTAATTTATAGAGGGGAGGCATTCCAGGTGGGTGACTAGTTTGTTGTTTGGCTTGGTGGAAGCCTGCACAGGAGTCCAAATGGCTTGTTTTTCCTGCAAAGTCTTTAATAATGAGTAACTGTCAGGCACAACCGTGGCCGCTCCGGGAGGTGGCTCGCCAGTGTGGAGTCAGTGCCCATCCTTCTGTATGGTGCTGACAAGCAGTGGGTCCCTCATCTCAGGAGCCCAGGGGATCGGGCCAACCAGCAACAGCCTATGCAGGGTCCAGCACTGGACCAGGTTCAAGGATGACTATGAAGGAAACAGTCCTCAAGGCTCAGCTTGTTTTTTTTTTTTCCCCCCTCTAATATCTTAGGCTTCAGTCCTGGACAGAGGATAGTCTTTGGGGCACCATTTCCTAGCCTGCCACTGACGTAGCCCCAGTACCAGTCAGGATTCAGAAAGTCTGGTTAAAGCACCCACCCACCCTTGAACCCAGGAAACTCCTCTCCTGCTGAGAGACCAAAAGACAGGAGCTTCTCTATAGCAGCAATCTCTGCCCGAGCTCAGCTCTCTGGGCAAACACAGAGAAACACAGTGGTGGCTAGGAGAGCAGGCATTGAGTGACATGGCTTGACTTCAAATCCCACCTTCAAATCACTTTCTGGCTGTATAGACTAAACTGTGCAGCACTTCCTCCTCCCCACTGCCCTGGCCGAATTCCTGTGTTGAAGCCCTAACCCACAGCATCACTGCATTTGGAGACTGCGTCTTCAGGAAGTAATTAAGGTTACATAAGGTGATGAGGGTGGGCCCTGATCTGATAGGATTAGTGTCCTTTTAAGAAGAGACACCGGAGAGCTCTCTCTCTTTCACCCGTGCTGTGTGTAGCCAGAGGAAGGGCCAGTGTGAGAAGCGCAGCAAGAAGGGGCCATCCGCGAGCCAGAAAGGGACCTCTCATCAGAAACCACGCCCTGCTGGATCGGGATCCGGGACTCCTGGCTTCCAGAACTGTGAGAAATAAGTATCTGTTGTTGAAGCCAGATGGTCTGTGGTTTTTCATATGACAGCCTGAGCAGACTAAGATGATGACCTTGAGTAAGTCACTTCACCTCTCTGAGCTTCGGTTTCCTTATCTGCTAAGTAGAGTTTCCACTCACATGCACCTCATAGAAGTGCTGTGAGGCTCAAAGGGGGTAATACGCAACGTGTTTAGCATAGTTCCTGGCGTGTGGTAAGTGCTCAATAATCCAGCAAAGACTGCTCCTGCTGCCTTCTTCAGGGTCTTCACTTCAATCTGACCGGACCTTCGTCACCGCTGGTGACGTGAAGGCATCTTGATCAACCCCCTCGTGTCATAGATTCTAAGAGGGCTAGTGACTGTCTCATGAGGACACAGTGAGTTAAAGACAGTCGTGATAGACCCCAGGACTCCTGACAGCCCGCCCACAGCTCGTGCTGAGGCCTGGTCATCTGAGTTGGGGGGATGCGCCATCCTGTAGGGACATGCAAGGCTTCCAGTTGGAAGACTTGTGCTCAAATCACAACCCTTTCTTTGAGTGATCTTGGGCAGTCGTTGCTCTGGTTTCCTCGTTTCCTTTCCTACTCACGGGGTTCTGTGGGACAAAAATGGGTGAATGTAAATGGAAGAATATTCCAATGGCAAGTGCTCTAAAGAGCAGGTGAGTGTGAGACCACCTTTCATGGTGACTCTAGTACCTGCCTTCTTGACGCTGGAGCCGCACTGGTCGGGACAGGTGACCTGGTGGAATCACCTCTAGCATCTCCCTGCCATTGGCTCCTCCCTCCTTCTAGTGGGATGAAGGTTGGACCCAGGTCTCCTAGTGCCTCTTGTCTGGGCCGGCTCCTCCCCAGTGGCAGTGGCTTTGTCCTCCCTGGGTCACACCTCCATACCCTCCTATGACTGAAGTGACACTAATGGTGGCCTTATCAAATAAATTTCCTCCTTCCTGCCCCCTTTGCCCTGCTGAGTTAGTGATTTATACACCTAGGGATGTTGCCCTAGGGCAGTGATTGATAAGGGGAAAACCACTGGGTCCCTTCAGTACCACTCCCTTATGTCTGCTGATACCAGCACCCCCACACCCTGCTTGAGTGAAGAGGTTGAGTCTTATTGGGTATTTCCGGTGCAGCAGACACCCACGGGGTGATGGAGGGGCTGAGTACACCTGCTCTTTCTAGCCAAAGGTCAGTAACTGAAACAAAGTCTGAGATAAAAAATTAATGATTTCAGAATGTAACCAAGTCCTATTTTCTAACCATTTGTAAGCCAGCAGTCATCTTTGAACCGCATAATGGACAGACTGGTCAATGACCTTCCCAAATTCAGATAGTCTATTGTTAACTTTCCCCCTGATTTTCTTTTAAATGAAAAGAATGAGGCCAGGAAAAGGAAGGAGGAAGAGAAACAGATTCTTACATAAAAGTTAGGGAGCTCTATAAGAAAAACGTGTGGGGAAAAAAATAAAGTATTTACATTAAACAACGCAATACACAGGCATGCTCCTCTTTGAGACTAGGACTTTATTTCAAAGGGACTTTCACTTTAAAAGAATTCACTGGCTCCTTAGTGTTTACTGAATTTCCTGACCGTATTTCAAAAATGACCTAACAAACAACTTTTTAGGACCACATCTCGTACATAAGGTAAATCTATCAGCGTAATCACCCGCATGCAAAATTGCGCTGGATAATGAAAGAGGCCTGGCCTTCCGTGTCCCCGAGCGATAAACCAAATGAAAGCCAGCCAGTTTCATCTTCATTTCCGAGTTACCCGCTCCCAGCAATCAGCAGCTTCACTGCTTTTTGGTTGGGGCTGTACACCACACAGAACAAAGACCGATGTCCTCCTTTCCAGCGTCACACAGAATGCAACCACGGGAGGACACAGTTGCTATTGACCAAGGCCAGCCAATGGGTTTTTCCTGAAAATGTCCACCGCTTCACTGAACCCAGGGATCTCAACCTCGGCACCAGGGACATTTGGGGCCAGAGAGCTCTGTGTTGTCGGGGCGGCCTGGCGCCCTGCAGGGTGGTCACCAGCATCGCTGGCCTCTACCCACTGGGTGCTGCTAGCAATCCCTCTCCCCAAGTTGTGACAACCAAATGTCTCTAGATTTTGCCCGAAGTCCAAACGTCCCCTGGGAGGGGCAGGGAGCTCATCCCAGCTGAGAACCACTGACCTAATCCATCTGGAGGAGGCATCACGGAGGGAGTATCCAGGGGCTGCTTCAACTGTACCCTCCCCACGCAAGTGTCGACTGCTGGCGTGTCCTCACAGCCACCAGGAAGGCCCAGCATAGTACTACTTACTCATTTCGTTTTCACAAATATCTATTTTCAATACATCATTTGGTTAAAATAGCTGAAAATCACGAGCATTAACCATCCCATGGTTTTTAAAATTGACTTAGAACATCATTTAAGAAGTTAATACCCATGACACAATTCTGTGCACTGCTTGCTTAGTAACCCTTAACTTTCTGTCTACACACTCTGAGTTTTTAGCCTTCCCCCAAAGCCATCTTGGTGGGTTGGCCCTCAGTTGTATTTATTTGCTCTGTGCCAAGAACATCTGGGCTGTTTCTCCGTGCTGTTCTCTGCTTCTTCATGCCCTTTGTAGGCCATCTAGCGAATCAAAACCAAACACCTCTGTATTTGCCCCATAAAAGAAATTGCTTTTATGTAATCGTGAAGCAGTTATGTTTCAGCAACTTCTACAATGAAAAAGAGACCAGAAAATATTAACGAGGCCGCTTACTGAAGAGAGGAGGCCTCAGCTAGAGACTTGGAAAGTCTCAAACTGACAAGCTGGACTGAATGAGAGGATCCTTAAAGTGAAGAGCATCCCTTTACATTTTATCTATTTGCACTGATTGATCAAACCATGAAATAGCTTATAGATGAGTACGTACACCTCTGGTTTTCAGGAGTTTGGCCAAAAGGAGCGGACTCTGCCTCTATCTCAGAACATTTCAATTGAACATTAAGGATTCCTTTCTAAGTATTTTCCCAACTGTCATCAACACCCTCTCTCCCAAAGAAAAAGCCCTGAATGGTTCAGTGTGGTGGGGTTTTTGTTTTGGGGGTGGCGTGTGGGGAGTGCTGGCTAGAGGCAGCAGTCATTTCTCATCCTTTGTGGAAGTGTTTTTGTGTTTTGACCCTGGGACAGCCACACTGGAGTGAAGCGCATGTATGTGAGTGAGCACTGGGCGTACCGTATGATGTGGGAGGAGGAGGAAGGAGCTCTAGTTCCGCTTCTTTGGAAGCTCTCAGGGCAGTGCCCTGTCGTGTGCCCTGGCAAACCAGTCCCCTTCCTAGGGCTGACCACCA